CAGATCTCTTTACAAAGGGATTGTCTCGGGGCAGAGTAGATTATATTTGTGACAAGCTGGGACTATATGACATATACTCTCCAGCTTGAGGGGGAGTGTTAGAATACACGAAGCAAGGGTATTTTGGTCATTTTGGTTTATCTGTTTGAGAGTGAAAGGTCTATTTTATTTAAGTTTAAGTTATGTGTCCCATCTTCCATGTGGGACAACATGGTTTTTCTTGTAACTCTATTATTTGAAATAAATACAAGTGGGTCGGCTAGGGAGGACTGATTTTTCTCCTTCCTTATCTGGCCGAACTCTTCTTCTTCTTCTTCTTTTCTACAAACTGCCTTTGTACCAAGCCCCTTGAGGCAAGTCCATGTTAGCATCCTAAATTCTTAATGCTTACACAAAAAAAAATGATTTTAGAATTTTAATTGCCTTTTAAAAACATATTTTATTAGGATGAATGAATGAACAACATTAGCAAATAGGGGGTTCTTGCCTTAAGGGGCTTGGCTGTGGGTCAACGCCCCCAACCCAGCCACTAGGTTCAAAAAAGAACAAAAAATAAAAAAGAATACGCCTGGACTGAAGTACAAGGCGCACCAGGCACCTGCCTTTTGAAAGAACACACATGAGGCACGCCTTTAAAAATTAAAATCACTGCCTCCACGAGCAGTAGATTTAAACCAAAAACTCTTCCAATTTTACTTCTATATTCAATATAGTTCAGAACGTTTCAAAAGAGTTGTAGAGTTGTCACTCTTTTAAATTCATCACAACCACCTTCCATCCGCTAATAGACTGCCCTAATGATTTCTTCAATTTATTGGGTCATAAGAAGTCCAATAATGCTAGAACTAGACTACAAAGAGTTCTTGCTTGAAACAGTTTATTTGAATAACTTTTTTGCAGTTGGACTATCTTTCTTCTTGTATTCTCTTTTTTCTTTTTCTTTTGAAAGTAAGAATTAGACTTTCCACAGCTACTGTTTTAAGTTACAATTTGCCTAATTGCATTTGTTTATTTGTTTTCATTCTTTCCTACAGGAAGATTTTGCTCTATTTAAAAATGCAATTCTAGTTCTAGATAAGGCATGTTATCAATGGAGATAAACTTTATCAATTAAGGGCTTAGCAAACAATAAATAAATAACTGTATCACTTAAGGGGGAAATCACGGGGATAATCAAATAAGCGAGAGTCCTGCTCAACATATCTGCTGAACCATTCGCTATACACGAGACATCGTCTCACCGCATCAGAAAACGGAAGGACGATAAAAGAAAAAAAAAAAGAGATAATAAGAATAAGAGAACGGAGATGACTGTTGGTAAAATATATTAAGGAATCTATAGTTTACCTTAGAGGAGAAAGATTGGGGGAGCTGAGGCCAAGAACAAGACCACAAAGGGGCCACCCAAAATGCAAACATTTCACCGTAGAGAAGACTCAACGCCCAAACGCAGCACAAAAACAATGTCACCTTCCGCATCCTCTCCTGCAATTCCTTTTCTTTTGTTATAAACGATTACAATCTGTGTTCTCTTTGCCACGTTCAGTTAGCCTTTCTTACTGTTCCGAATGGGATAACAGACCCTTCGCATCAGTGCTCTCTTTCTTTTGTCGAAAGGCATCAGTGTTCTCAACTCCACGCTCTACTCTCGAATGATCACTCTTTGACCGGGGGGAGAACCAGGTGGGATAGGTTCCTGACACAAGGCGCCTGACAACGACCTCAGAGGCACATCCCACCGTGCGTTGGAAAAATAATAACACATAAAAATGGAGATGTACGGAGATGTTCTCGATGAACAGTAGTATGTGCCTGTGATGTCGATATAAGGCGCCATGTGTGAATAGCAGATCTGGTCTCACGAAGAACGAGTAGCAAAGGTATTCACTGCCCAAAATGCACTGCGGATATGCTACAAACAACTGAACAAGACGTGTGCAACGGGTTACGGAACCCAATCAAAAATAAGCACGTCAGCGATCTAATTCTACTTTATAACCCGTCCGATGCACGTGGAAAGGAATATTTCGAAGGAGTGTCGATCAATGGGAATAGGATTCGAGTTGGACCCGTAGTAAGATAATTTCTTCATGTGATTGGTAATGTGTGCTGGTCGTAGCGGAAACTTAGGGATCGAATCCTGCTTGCACCGCAGAAGAAATAAAAATAAAAAGTTGGGGTTTCCTCGATCAACTCCAAATATCAAATAGGCTGGCATGGAAATTGATACTCTCGTCGCCTGCGCCTAATAAAAATGAATTTTTTTACAACTCCCGCCCCCACGTCAGGAAAAAGTTGTAAATTTTTTACCGTTATACCCTTTAATGCAAAAAAAAAAAAAGAGAGAAGGAAAACGAATAAACGAACTCTGTTCGAAAACGAGAACTTCTCTAATCGCTCTTAACCGTCTTCTTCCCCATTTCGAATGTTGAAGGCTCAACGGAAGCTCCCTGTGCTCACTGTTCGGTAGAGGTCCCGTTTCGTCACTGGTAGAGATCTCGACCGTCTTCCCACTTCGACATTGGTCCATTTGTTTCAAACGTTGGGAAGGTTTTTCACCGCCTGCTCCATTTAGAACGTTAAAGATTTTTCAGAGGCTCCTACATTCGCCGTCCGGTAGAGGTCCCGTTTCGTCACCATTAAAGATCCGACCATCTTCCCCATTTCGACATTTATTTGCTTCTTTCGTCCCTTTGATTAAGGTTTCTAGGCCCCCGTACTAGCCATCGGAGGTAGCTATTCTTCACCGTTAGAAGTGAGCTTTCCCGGCCATCATGCACCCCTCCCGGGCATCCAAATCCGATAAAATGTGGCACGTCGGAGATCGGAAAGGACATTCAGTAGATTATAATGGGATTTGCCTCCAATACCATGTTCCATTGCTCTACGTGCGGTAAGGAACTAGCTATTAATAAATTCTTTAATGTGTTAATATGGGATGTTTACTTTGCATTTGCCATTACTCATTCTGTTGTCTCTGGAAATGGAGTTGGAATATCTGCATTTTGTTAAGCATTCAAGCGGCATTATGTTGAACTATTATTTAACTGTACAGTGCATTTATTTTAGTGAATACCTTGTAGATGGTTTATTGTTGGAAGTTGAGTAATAATTGAGTCTTGTCATTCTTTATATGAAATTAAAATGGTATACTATGTTAGGATTGTCTCATGTGCTAACATTAGAGTGTTAAATTCTCGACAAGGAACATTAAGTGACAAAGTTGGGACAAGGTGCTCCACTAAACGATTTAGGGAGATACTGAATAGTTTGTCTCTAAGTTTGGAGCACAAGAGAAACTCCAACAGACTCCCTTTGGACACTTCTTGGATTTGCCACATGTGACTGTGGAGATGTCCCTTTTGAGTTATCTAGTAAATTGTGGAACTCGACTAGCCATTGCTTTACAATTGGTGAAAGGACTATGCAATTCAGTGAGGCCAAAGTTGCCTTGATAACGGGGCTTGGCATGTCAGATAGTACAGTTGCCCTATTAGAAGGCCTTCCCAATAGTGGATTGTTCAAAAAATTGTTTGGCTTGGATGAAAATCACTTTGCCTCTATAGACTTGGATCTAGTGTGGCATAGGCTAAAAAAGAGTGTTCTTTTAGATGGTGAAGAGCACATTAAGGCAGTGGTGAAGTTTATTATTTTGTTCTTATTCGGTTAAGTGTTGTTTCCCCAAGGCAGTTTCGAGGTTGAACTCCTTATGGGCTGGATACATTGACAATTTACAACATATCGATGATTATGCATGGGGAAATGTGTACATGAATTCCTAGTCAGTGGTCTTGACCAGTTTGTTTCTAGTTATGGTGTTGGATCGAGCAGAGACTCATCCTCGCTTAGTAGTTGCCTATTTGGATGCAACCCAATGTTGATAGTTAGTGTGGATGGCATTCATTCTTTTATTTATACTTCATGTAAATCTCATTCAATTGAGGATCACTTATTAGTTGTTTGCTTTTTATAGACATGGCTTTACAAGCACACAATGCTATTCACTCCTTCAATTCCCGGCCAATCCTCGTTTGTCCAAGTGGGGGAACATGGAATATCAGTGGAGGCTGAAGAGAGCTGATTTGTTGAAAAAAGTTGGACTAAAAACGGTTCTCACTTTTGTTCCTCTACTTATGGTGTTTGTAGTTTTTATTTGTTTAGTTGTTGGAAGATCCAAAATGTCATATAGATTTATAAATCCATTAAAGGTTATTAAGGCTCCAAACCCTATTAGTGAGGAGATGACCTTAGTGGAGGTTCGGTCAAAGGGCTATGTAAATTGAATTAATGATATTTTTTTTTGTGGAATCCTTTATGTGACCCAAGTACATGGTAGTAATTAACCTTTGGTGTTCATATGTAGTTTGTGGACCCAAGGGGCCATAGTGTGGTCTGATAGAGAGGACCCTAGTCATAGGTGGGGGTGGTTGGAGGGGGCAAAAGGTATTATTAGCGTAGCATACATGTTTTGAGTTATATACAAGTTGATAAATTGCTAGTGTTGAGATTTGTTAACTAGATTCTAACTTAATTTTTCAGGGATTTTGAAAATCCTGCATTGAATCTATGGAATATCAAATTTTGTCTACGTAGGCCAACTCGTACACCTCGACAAGAAAGCAGAACGAGGCACTTCATGAGAAAATTAATAGGCTCTATACAATGTTGAGAAATAATGGGTTGGACCCGGATGCAATACCATTGAGTGAGGGGCCAATAGGTTTGGCAACCTATATGCCAGAAGATGATGATTATAGTACAGATTTGCATGTTGGAGTCACAGGCGACACCACGATGGTATAGCAATCTCCTAAAAGGACTAATGTTGTAGCCCCATCTTGCAAGATTGTTAATGTGTCTCCATCCATTGCCTCTACCTACAAGTGTAAGTTTTCCCGAGCAAGGAGAGAGTGAAAGCAAAGCAGCACGGAGGTGTCACCTTACCTATCTCCTGGGCAGCAAGGGTAGGTAGCGAAAGATTTTGCCACTATTGCAAGGTCCAAAAGAGTAGTGAAGGGGAAGGTGAAGTGATAATTGTTGGTTTTGTCTATAGGGTTGAGTTTGTGGTTGTGTGTAGGGTTGAGTTGTTTAGTAGTTTAGTGACTAGTGGAGTATTTGATGTAGTCGGTAGATGCACGATCCTTATGGACTTCTTTTAAGATGAAAGACTTGCTCCCAAAGGAGGACTTGGCAGTTGTGAAACGGTTCTTGAAAAACTTCAAGAGAGGGCAAGTGCGCATGATTGTATACTAGATTGTGTCCATTCAATTGATTTTCTTTAAACTGGATTTTGTTTGTATCATTCTTTTTCTTGTGTAATGAGGTTGATTAATGGCTATTTTCATGGCAGTGAACAATTAGTATGCAGCGATGGTGTTGTATTTTTTACCCCAGATTACCTGTTGTCCCTCTTCAACCTGGAAGCATGGGTGTACAACGAGGTATTGATTTGGTTTAGGGGTGTTGTATGTCGTATAAGGCTAATTGGCAATCCAGTTTCTAAGGTGGACCTGCCATAAAAATTCCTTTACTTGTTTTGATTTGACGTGTTTGGTTGTCTAGGTCATAAATGTGTATGGGTTCTTGTTGATGGCAAGACCCACCAACACCCTCAAAATATGTTATGTGTTTTCGATGACACCGGTTTGGGTTGTTGCTTGCAATGTGGCTGAAATCCATAGGCTAATTGTGTGTTTGTAATGCAACTGTATTTCTTAGATGCCCGCCACGATGTTCTGTATCAGTGTTGAAGCCCAAAGAAATATTGATGTGCGATAAGGTTTTTATACCATTCTCCGATCACTGACACTGGCAGCTACTAGTAGTGGATATATTGCACCAAAAAATCAAAGCTTACAATTCCCTAAACAGCAGCTGCCATCAAGCTTATGCAAGAACCATGGTATGTATCATCGAGTTGATTTTTACACTACTGATTGGGTATAAGATAATGAGTCAGTTTGCTCATGTGTCTATTTGATTTCACATTATTTGGCAGCAAGAAAGTTTGAGAGAAAATTTGGCACCATTTGTTCCTAGGAACACCGGTTGGCCATTTGAATTCGTAGAGTCAACCCTTAAACAAGTTGGGTATGTGTTATATGTTCAAAGCTTAGGTGTAGGGGTACTTGTATGATGGTTATTGAGTAAAAAATTATTTATGTTTTATGCAATGGTAGCGAGTGTGGGGTGTTTGTGATGAAGTACATGGACTACATTGCCCAGAGCGCAGATTTTGACTTTGATCTAGTAAGTACATGTGAATTCCATTTGTTAGCACATACATAAATGTCTCCCATTATTACTAACATATAATACCTTTGTTGTAGAGAATGATTGATATTATTAGGTGGTTGACAGGGGCTCAACTCATTCGGAACCATTTCCCATGATTTGCGCACGTTATGAGGAAGAATGTTGGTTCATATAACATGGTGTTATTATGGTGAATTACAAAGATGACTGAAAACTTTTTTTTTGCTTTCTCTCATCTAACTAGTATGAACAAATATTAAAAATGTAAATAATTGTACAAAGCCAATGATTAAGTAGATCTAACTATGTAAATGTACAAATGCATGGCTTAAAGTAATGTAAAATATTTTATATTGCTTAGTGAAACCAAATCTCCAAAGCAGCATTGCCCCATTATGTGTGTAGTGTGATTTGTGATCAATTTTTTGCTCAACAAGTACTGGAGCAAAGGAATGT